TCTGTCCGTCCGCAGCCAGGCGAGGAGGTCTGTCCGTCCGCAGCCAGGCGAGGAGGTCTGTCTGTTCGCAGCCCCGCTCCTGGTGCTGAGAGTACCCTTCAGTGGTCTGTGGGCAGGGGGTGCCCAGTGCTGACGGCAGTACAGGCTGCAGCCCTGGGAGGGGACCTGGACGCCCCTGAGCGTCCTGCCAGGATCAGTGACTGTCATTCTCCAGGGGACACAGCTCTGGCTCTGGCCACATAAACACCGCTTAGACAAGCCCGGCCTCTGGGCAAGACTGGGGGTGCACCAGCTGGGGTCCCTGTGAATGCAACCCCAGTGGGGGAGGCAGGGCCCACATTCTGCCCAGACCCCCAGGTGGAGGTGAGCCGGAACGGGCCCCCCAGGCCCAGAATACCGGCGGGAAGAGCTGTTCACATTGCAGAACCAAAGACGGTACTGAATCTCTCCAAGTCTCCAGAGCTCAGTGGGAACCCCAAAACACGGGTATCGCTGTTTGGCAACATGTCTGGGGGTTCACTCGAGTCCTTGCTTAGGACGTGTTCTCTTGTATCAACACCATCTGCACATTGCTCCTTCCCGGTTACAGCTGGCTCCTTGTGACCCTGTGGGTACCCTGCGGTGGATCTTCTACCCGCGAGCACAGTGTCCCTGCTGCGAAGAGGAGGCTGCTCGTCCACGGGGAGTTCACCGGGCAGCTTCGTATATGGTGGAGACAGCTTGTGCGTTAAAAGAAGGAAACGGCTCCCCCAACCAGGAGTAAGTGGGGCAGCTGTGCAAACGGTGGGCGTGGGTTTGACAGGTGCGTTTTCGTGCCAGGCCCTCAGTGACAGCACCCCCCGCCCCCATCCTTCTGCACCAGCGCTGTCAAGGCCTCCGTGGGCAGGCATGGGGACAGAGGGGCTTTCCAGGAGCGCCCTGGACACAGAACATCTTCCGCTCAGACCGTGGGTTAGCAAGCAAGGAGAGGAGTTGGGGGCTTCTCCCTTCCCACTGGTTTCTCGTGCGCTATGGGGGCACCCTGGCAGTGGCGCCCCAGTGGTAGAATCCTCGTCTTCCATGTGGGAGCCCCAGGTTCGATTTCGTGCCAATGCACATCATGTGCAGCCACGGCCCATCTCTCAGCGGAGGCTTGCATGATGCTGAACAGGTTTCAGTGAACCTTCCAGACTAAGAAGGACTAGGAAGAAAGGCCTGGTGATCTACTACCAAAAATCAGTCAGTGGAAACCCTGTGGATCAAATGTCCAATCCACACCGATCCTGGGTAGCACAGGACCAGGCTTTCTCCTCCACGCCCAGCAGGACGAGATGTCGCCCAGTCCTGCCCCCTCTTCACCATCGCTGGTCTGCTCAAGTCCATTGTTCCGACCCTGTGTGTTCAGAGTCCTTCCAGCCTAGGAGGCTCATCTTCCAGCACTGCACCAGACAGTATTCTGTTGTGACACCCAGGGTTTTCTTCACTGGCTGATGTTTGGAAGTAGATCACCACGTCTTTCTTCCTAGTCTGTCGTAGTCTGAAAGCTCCGCTGAAAGCTGTCCACCAAGAGTGACCCTGCTGGTGTCTGGAAGGCCGGTGGCGTGGCTTCCAGCATCACAGCAACACGCCAGCCCCCCCGTAGGACAATGACGGGGGGTGGGCTGCTATGAGCAAGGAACCTCTTTTCCACCATGGTTTAAAGACACGTGTCCCCACAAAGGAAGCAAGAAAGTGCCCTCATCCTGAGGGAGAGAAAGAGAGAAGGCTGCTACCAGAAATGCTAAACCTCCCCTTACACCCCCATTACTTTGCTGGTTACAGAGCCAGGGAAACAGGGCAACGGACTGGAGCTCCTCGTCAGCTCTGGAGGACACCAGGTGAACGCTGGTGCACATGCGTCTGTGCACACCTACTGGGAACGCAGAGAGGGCAGAGCCGGCGAGTCATGTCTTGAGCATGCACGCACGCACGCAGCATGCACACGCTCTGTGGATCCTACTGGCTCCTGGTCACAATCGTGCCATGCAGGTTCTGCAGCCGATGTCAGGGGCCCGGGGACGGCCATGTTTGAGGGGACCTGTGGATTGGCTTTTCTTGCTGCCAGTTTGAAACCCCGACTCAAAAACTCAAGTTAACAGACACAAAGGCTTTCCTTGTGCATGGCCAGGCTGTAGACTTCACAAACAGGGGGAGTGGAAGTGATTTCTGTCCCAGGATTAAAGGTCAGCTTGGGACACATGACTGCGGGGCAGAACCACAGCATGTACTTGTCTTAACCCGTTCATGCACATCCCTGGGGGGGAGGGAGGGAAGGAGAAAAGGGGGAGGGAGGGAGGAAGGGAGGAAGGGAAGGAGAAAAGGGGGAGGGAGAGAGGAAACGGGAAGGAAGGAATGGAGAGGGGGAGGGAGGGGCTACACGAGGTGTGTACCACTTTCAAGCACAAACCTTGCTGAAATAAACTCCTCCTGGCAAATGTAACTGACTGAGGGTGATGTGGGCTCTGACTGTTGCTGGCTGCCGTCAAGTGGATTCCAACTCATATCAACTCCATGTGACAGAGCAGAACTGCCTCATAGGGTTTTCTTGGCTGTGATCTTTACGGGAGCAGATTGCCAGGTCTGTCTCTTGCGGAGCTGCTGGGGGGTTCGAATGGCCACCCGTTCGGTTAGCGGCTGAGAGCTTAACTGCTGTGTCACCAGGGTCTCTTGGGCTCCGATTAGGAGAGAGTATCTTTTGACAGCTAGCGACCCCAAACCCACACGTCCACGCTGTGACTTAACTCGGAGCTGTAGGGCGCAGGCTCTTCCTGAAAGTGGCGTGCCCAACACGGAGAAGTGCTAAGGCACCTCTGTGATGCAGTTAAGCCAGGTTAAAACGGTCACACTTTGACTCTTTCCTACACAACAGAGCGTCTCCCACGGGCCGGCGGGTTTGCCACTAACAGCCTTTTCTTGCTGCTCCAAAAGGACCGAGGCGTATTTGAAAACTAATTGGACCAGATGTCAAACCGCCTGCAGGTAAAGGGCGTTTATTTTCCTTCCTTTCACTTAGCGTCTGCAAGCTGGGGCGCTCCTATGGGCCCTTCTCGAGGACGGTTATTAATAGGCTGTGATTCTAAACGACGCTGAGAAGACCCGTGGGCTTACTGACGAGCTCAGGGCGACACCCCGAGGGGGCGATGCTGCTGTCCGTGCCCTGGGCGGGTCTTCGGGGCCCTGGGCGGGTCTTCGGGGCCCTGGGCGGGGTCTTCGGGGCCCTGGGCGGGTCTTCGGGGCCCTGGGCGGGTCTGCGGTGCCCTGGGCGGGTCTGCGGGGC